AGATTAGGGTGCTGGAGCACATGATTTATGAGGAGAGGCTGAGGGAACTGGGATTGTTTAGTCTGCAGAAGAGAAGAATGAGGGGGGATTTGATAGCTGCTTTCAACTACCTGAAAGGGTGTGATAAAGAGGATGGATCTAGACTGCTCTCAGTGGTATTAGATGACAGAACAAGGAGTAATGGTCTAAAGTTGCAGTGGGGGAAGATTTAGGTTGGATATTAGGAAAAACTTTACTAGGAGGATGGTGAAGCACTGGAATGGGTTACCTAGGGAGGTGGTGGAATATCCTTCCTTAAAGGTTTTTAAGGTCAGGCTTGACAAAGCCCTGGCTGGGATGATTTAGTTGGAGTTGGTCCTGCTTTGAGCAGGGGGCTGGACTAGATGACCTCCTGAGGTCCCTTCCAACCCTGATATTCTATGATTCTATGCTCATTTAGTGAGCACTATCTATTCTGTGTACTGACTGAGGCAGGGGTCTTGTGGAAAAAGCAGTATGTGATTGTCATGTAAAAGACTATCATAATGCATATGGAAACAAAGCACTGAATTAAGGTGGCACAAGCAACCTCAATTCTATTATTTCCTGAGTGCTTGACTTTGCAACCTTACAGTTTTGAGAGAGAGAGAGAGAGAGAGAGAGAGAGAGAGAGCGCGAGCGAGCGCGCTCGCTCTAATTCTGGACCTAGCATGGCATAGATAATTTCATTACAATAAGTTTGCCCAAGATCAAATAGAAGTATGTTTTAATCTAGAAAGAAGCAGTATGTTAGTCCACTTCATTCAGAGAGACTTTATAGCCATAACATGCTGATTTTAGAGATAAGATCATTGTATAAAAAGTCAAACAATAGTTACAGATAACACTTTCAAGTACCCCAAAACAGCCATTGAACATCAAAATCCCTTTTTATAGATCGCTTCCTTTAGTAAGTGTTTTTTCCACAGGGAAAGAAAAAAATTCAATGTGGTACCACTAGCGCTCTGAAAAAAAAGAACACCTCCTCGCCACTCTCTCCCACCACGTCTAGGTAACACTAGACAATATTTGTAGTCCTGGTCATCAACGGGCATTTACTCACCCATATTAAACTGGATGAATTCCTATGGCCTGTGTTATGCAGGATGCCAGACTGTATGATCATAATGATCCCTTTTGGTCATAAGATCTATGAAGTCTCACAGTGCAAAATGCACATTATGTTTAAACTTGTTAAACCCATATTTACTGGCATTGTTAAAACACTACACAAAACATTCAAGTAGTAGATAATTGTAATGCAAGCCCTTGCATGGCAATCCAAATTTATTGAACTACTGATGCTAAGTCATACAAAATTGCACCACTTTTAATTAAGGCTTTTAGTTTACATTTGGCCACCTCAAAGCAGTTGTAACATTAGGTTGGTCAATTTAAATACTGTGGCTCCCTGTTGGATATACACACAATCTTTACACCCAAACGTTAATTCATACAAAGCAACAAGGCATTGTTAAATAAATCAGCAAAAGTTAATTACTGCAACTTAGGCCCTGTGACCAATTACACATGATTAAAATTACTTCCCACATTCACATCCACAGTACTCTTCCACCATTTAACATCTCAACCAAAACGTTACACATGTAAAACAATCACTAACAGGCAAAAGTACTAAAACCTGTATATTTGGTATTGCAAATACACTTATGCATGAGCAAGCAAGGGAATTAACAGTGAGAATCTACAGCTGCAGAAGCCTGAAAATGATTTACAAAATTGTTAAATCATTAAAAAAATCATTTTAAAATATACACTTCTTGTTGTAGACCCCCACTGTACACACAACTATAAACATTGTTCCCTATGTAAACAAGGAAAAGGAAACATACAATAAAAGGTTGAAAAGTCTGGACATTTCCCTCCCAACAGATATTAAAGGCAATGTCTTTAGTCAGACATATGAAAGGACTCTTATTTTAAAGACTAGATCACTGTCTCCACAGGTTTTTCCTAAAATTAAAAAACTAAAGCTGTTGTGTTAATCAAAGCGGTTTTGTATAATATGATGATGATGATCCTGTATTTCTTTAAAAAAAGTTACAATAAGCTACAAATACCGATGAAGCAAAGTTATCTGGAGTAGTCTATATAGGAGCTCTTTGGACTTTCTTTTATTATGCTAAAATAGTGGTGCTTTCAGGATTTACATTATTGTACTCTCCAATAGAAAGTATGGGGATTATTGAAGTATACAGTACACAGTTTTCATACATGTATAACATTGGTGGATGAATGTCTCTTATCAGTAATACTGGATGTAGGCTCTGGTTTTACCAGTTGCATACACTTAGAATATTTATAAGTAAAAATCTCTCGTGACACTGGAAAGTGATTAGAATGTGCAAACTGATGTAGTAGCTTTCATCCACTTCTTAAAGGGTACCACCACAGGAAAGTCCATTTAAAATGTTGGTAGGTTTAATAAAGTTGGAATGCTGGCACTGTTGAATTGGGCAACAGTTCTTCAGACCTGTAACGATGAAACAGGAGATTAGTATTAAAGCACAGTTTTCTAGGACTGAAGAGTTCTGCATCTCAGTGTAACTAAGGTGAATTAAATGCTACTTTCAAAATTTACTAAGACCCTAAATCAGTAGTATATATAGACCCAGTGACATCAACTTGAAATTTAATGAAATTTAAAAGTGAAATACAGTAATAATTTTAGGTGCAACTTGCAACAATAGGTAAAAAGTTTGATTTAAATTATGTCCCTTTTAAAAATTATAAATATCCATTACCTAGTACTAACATCTCTCTTCCCCCCTCCAAATCAGATCTCAAAAGTTCTGCCTTTTGTCTGAAACAGCTCATGCACATGCTTAGGAAACACAGGACTCAGCTTTCATGCTGGAAAGTTAAAAGTTGTGACAGACATTTATTCCAGCAACTTATTTTTTCTTTAAGTCATGTGAAACGATGCATTTGACAGATTTTGGATCAGATATAATAGAAGACTATTATAAAAATTGTTAAAAGGGCTCTGAGAATTAAGTTTTTTTAAACTTTCCTAACATTTTTATAGCACACTTATACTAAATCGGTTCATTCAAAAGCCCAACAAAATGGATTTTAAAGATTTTTTCCAAATGATTTTGGTCAGAAGCAAAATTTTACAAGTACATTAAACACAATTTAGTTATAAAAGGAACCTTAGAAAAGGAAGTCAGATTGGTTGATGAGGATATTGTGAGAAAGGGGGACTAGCTTTATGGGCCAATCAGCCAATGTGTCACCAAAACTGAAGTTTTATTTAAAAAACAGTACTACATTTTTATAAGTGTATTTTTATTACTTGTGTACAAGTGTATTACCTGACCTTTTTACCTCAATACTCCAAAGTTATGTGGGTATTCACTGTAATTGGACACCTTTCACTTTTACCCTTTCAATGAAAACAGCCCTGGAAGCTGCCTCTTTAAAAGAAAGTTTCAGAAAACTAATCAGATGGAGAATTTATGATAAATTTAGAAATGGGAACGTAGCATTATATGGGCAAGAGAAAAAAAACAAAACAAAAAAACCTACCCAAAGAGGTACCTCAGGTTTATTACAAAATAAAAGTGTAAATTAAGTATAGTTTCTACCTTTATACCTTCCTTGTCAAATATTAAGAAGCAATGAAAACCAGGAGTTTAAGTTTTCCTTTAAACACTTATTTCAATGTGCTCTGCCTATTGTGTTGAGTCACTAGTGCAGTCATGTGAAGAACTACAATCTCTGACACTTGGATTTGTAAAGACATTAATCTGACAGGCAAAAAAACCCCACCCCCCAAAAAAACAGGTGGATGCTGATGCCCCCATAGGCACACCATTAGTCAGTGTGAATTTAATGAGATTAGGGTTAATATAGGCAGAATGCATTTAAATGACCTTAAACACTAGCATCAATCATTTGCTATAACAACTTTGTAAACCCTGGGATTCTGATGTAGAGTGATTGACGTGGTGAGACTATGCAGCAGCAAAGTATCAAAACCCCAATTTGTAGCACCAGGTTTAAAATTTCAGTAACTCAGCCATGAAAAAAAACAATCTTTCCCATTTGCTTGATTCCTGGATATCTACACTGGTGATGAGCCCAAACCATGCAGTTAGGGTTTGGATTATTAGTAGTGCATAGAATACTGCCACTTCTACCAGTGTTCAGGGGCATCTATCTGGGGTTTTGGTCCAGACTCATCAGTTTACTTTTTTCTTGCCAATCTCTCCAGATGCTTCTGGAACCAAACAATCTCAAATTTTATTTGGATTCAGACACTTCACTCAGCCTAGACTGTTTTTTGGCCAGATACTGGAAAAGAAAAGACAATGCACTGTCTGAATTTTAAGACAGGTCTGCGTGTTATCACTGTACTAATGATACCATAGCTCAGAGAGCAAAACTCCCTCCTCCCGCACAAGCTTCAAATACACTGAGTGGGAGGGATGAGACAATCCTGTACCAGAACTCTGAGAAAGAATAGAACTACTGAAATGCAATCCTATCCATTTGAACAGGCTACTGAAGGGGGACAACAGACATGAAAGAATCAAGATGAACAGGTGACAGTTGTCCAATGACAGGACAACCATGAGAGTATAGCATTATCTCCATACCCAGGCTGAAAATGCAAGTGACCAGGAAAAAGGAAATCCGAGGACACCCTGTGATGTCAGTGACTCACCAATTTCTCAAAAATCTTGCCAAAAAAAAGTGCAGGCTTAAGCTTGCTCTTAGCCTTCTTAAAATATATAAGGCATTAGTTAATTGTCACACTAAAAAAAGTTAATCTAGTAAACCAACAGCTCTAGGTAAAAAAAAGTTTCAAGGAGTGATACATATGAAACATGGATTGTCCAATAGCTCACTTCCAAATATACACGTTGCAACATCTTTCTTTTAAAAAAAGACTAACTCCTCTATCAGGACAACGTATGTTTTTAAGTTACGGAAACCTACAAAAGGCTCTTACAGTCCAGAGCAAGTTGTTTAAAAAAAAACAAAAAACACCACAATAGCTTAACACACATTCTATAAGCCTATGCACATATTTATAGCAGATCACAAAGCAAAAGATGACAGTTTAGCTGTACAGTGGTACACTACAGTCTTCCAAAACTGCAATTATTTTGTCAGTAAGATACATTTGGTTTAATCAGACTTCATACAAGCCTGCCTATTTTTGGCTAGTTACATTTAATGCTTTAAGATATCTCATATGATATTTACATTTTCTGATGTCTATGCAAGGTTGTTTCTTTAGTCCGTCAAAAGATTTTGGTCCATCAGTGTGAGAGGCACATCTTATGCATGCCTTTGCATTTGACACTGGAATGGCAGAGCCCAAAAAACCTATTTCAAATACTTTTATTTCTATGTTAAAACAGATAAAGTCTCTGATCCTATTTTGCACTCCTATTACTTGAATAGCTAAATTGAACCTTTGAAAAACAGTTAGTGGTAGGTCAACAACAACAAAAAAGCAGAGAAAATTAAGAAAATAAGTGAGCGAGCTTACCTGGCTCAGAGCTACAGCACATCTATGCATTAAAGTAGCTGACACGATGACTTTTTGCGTGCTTTTCCAGGCACTGGAGTTTTTCTGTTAATTTGCCGCACAAGGTCATAAAAGATCTGTGAACACAAGAAGTTCCTAGTTTAGGCAATTTAAGCCACTTCTGACTTTTAGCCTCTAAGCTTTTCATGCATTGTTCACTTAAATGTGCACATTTAACCTTCATGTTTTGAGACCTATTTAAAATATTAGCAGATACCTATTTGTTTTCTACCTCCTCCTCTAGTTAAAGCTGCCAAGGTTTTTTCAGTTTAACTGGAAGTGAGGTAGAATACCTCCCTAAGCATCAAGAGCAGCTTGTCTTGCAGACAAAGTTTCCTGTATCCACATATATTTGAACTGTATTTCACACTCCAACATGATTAACTATATGCATCGTTTTGATTTGTAATTAAGTGTTCAGGTCAAATACAGTGGACAAAATTGAGCCATAAGCAGTTTATGTACTTTTTATAGAATTACTCCTCCTAAAGAGATAATATTTCTTTAAGAGGATTCTAGTAGAATTCTATTGTATATTTTAGAATGTTACATGCTTTGTAACCAGTCAGGTATAAGTTACACATTTGATAAGATCAATTTAGTGTTTAAATATATGAAAAAAAATCAGTCTAATTTAATAACTCGTTTAATATCTGAGTACTATCCTGATTTTTAATCAAAATAAAAGTTTAATTCAGCAGCTTCCTAAGGGATAAAATGTGGCAATAATTGAAAAGCTCATAGCAAAAAAGTACATAAACTGGGATGGAAAGCGTAGGAATACATATCTAATTGGAATTGTACGAGGACTGGAATTTTGTGAGAACACTAATTTAGATGCAAGTCAATCAGTTCTAAATACTACAATTAAATAGCATGTGCTTCACTTATAAATAAAGTTCTGTCTCCCCCCCAGTATCATCTCCTCTCAATCTCTGAATGTCTTGCAACAAGTTCATAGGTTGTAGCTGCACTAGTAGTTATTTCCCAGGCATTTTCCACATTGGAATATTCTATTCCAACCTATTTCTACTGCATGAAGTCTAATCCAGTGATTCTCAAACTTTTGTACTGGTGACCTCTTTCACATAGCAAGCCTCTGAGTGCAATCCTCCTTATAAATTAAAAACACTTCTTTATATATTTAACACCATTATAAATGCTTGAAGCAAAGTGGGGTTGGGGTGGAGGCTGACAGCTCGCGACCCCCCTCCATGTAAATACCTCACGACCCCCTGAGGGGTCCCAACTCCCAGTTTGAGAACCTATGTTCTAATCCAATAAAATATATTACTTTTACCATTAACCAAATGGATTTATCTATTGGCTAACAGGTAGTCTCCAGAAATTCTAAATCGGAAAATACACATTAGCTATGATATAGTTTAAAATTAGACATGCTTAAGGCCTACAAGACCCCAAAAGATCATTTATATTAACACAATTTGTAACAACATTTGTACAAGACATTTCTTGTGGCAGGGATACTCCCTACTGGTCTCCAAGAAGCTATCCTGTAGTTCCATCTCTATCACAAGAGTAAAAAAAAACTTGAAAAAGCAAGAACAAGTGTTCTGTCCAATGTGTTTTCAATGAACAATTGAGTACAATAATGAAATGCTTGCATGTTCAGTGAAAAATCTGTAACAAGTAGAAACAAAAGCAGTTGCAAGCCCAAAGCCGTAAGTTTATAATTAGGAAGCTAGCTGTAAACAGCTAGGTAAGTCTTGATTACAGGCATCTGATAATGTAAAATTTCTTACAGGGTACAATTCTGCCCACTGAAATCTAAGGGAATTTAACATGAAGTTCAGAATTTTGTTTTTAGACAGCAAGAAGCAGCAAGTTGTTAGAAAAGCTTTCATTTGTTTTTTCATAAGGTATTAAAAGCCTTACCTCATTAACATTTATTTTTGATTTTGCAGAAGACTCTAAGAATGCACAGTTATTCCATTGCCTTGCTAGATTCTGTCCTTGCTCCTTTCCCACAACTCTTTCATCTTCCAAGTCACACTTGTTGCCAACTAGAATCATTGGCACCTAAATAGGACAGATATTTTAATTTATATATAAAGTTGAAGCCAGAAGCTGAATCATTACAACTGATGGGGAAAAAAAGGGCAGCACAAGAGAAACCTGGTATCTTACATGAAGCAGATTTTTTGTGCTACTTGTTAACATCAAGTCATTTTGATTTGAAGATGATCGGGTTACAGAACTGTAAACTAAACTGTTGATTATCACAGGATCTGGTCATATGTGCAAAATACTTCAAGAGAGTTTGTTTTATTAAGTCAGCTCAAGCTATTCACTCCAAGGCCTCTCCTAACTGAAGACTGCCAGCTGTATTCAGCTAGTGAAAAAACTACCTGACAGGTTAAATTACAAGTTGAGACCACACAACTCCTGTTCAAGTTTCCCACCCTTACTCAACTTGAACTCTGCCTTCAGAAGGGCATGTGAAGAGGTGGAGGGCAGCAGTTATATGGGTTTATTTGACATGTTTTACTACATTGTAGTTACAATTTTTTTTAAGTGTACACAATAGTTATATTTTTCATAAAGAGCAAACACCAAAAAAAAAATAATTCTTCCAAGCCCCCAGAACCTTGTTTTCAGCCATGTTATGGTGGAAAGGTTGCTCTTGCACAGTCAACCATGTATAAACGGATAGCCACAGTATTAGCGTTTTGCTCTAATCGGATGCCCACATCAAGAGAATTCACCCCTTCTGGTGCGGACCTTACATAAGTTCTCTAACTAGGTGGATCTTTGTTCTGAAAGGAGTGATGTCACTACTTGACTGAAACTCCATCTATATATGGAAGCTTCTTAATGAGCAACTGCTCTTAATGAAAGGGCTACCTGGAATTCTCTGGACCATGATACTCTGAAACAGGGATTTTTTTTTAAAAAACAACAATTAGCATAATTAACCACTGGAACAACTTAAGGTTTGTGGTGGATTCCCCATCACAACATTTAAATGAAGATTGGATGCTTTTCTAGAAGGTATGCTTTACAACAGGAATTTTGGAGAAGTTCTATGGCCTGTATTATACAGGAGGGTTGGGTTAGATTATCAGAGTGGTCCCTTCTGGCCTTGGAGTCTATGAATCCTCCAGGTCCTGTTGGACCAGGATTCTTTAGAAAGTATCTGTGTTGTCTAGTTTGTATCCCTGTGTAAGACTCCTTCACTGCACTTACCTGAATGGCTATCAGCAGTGTGCAGTATTTACTTTACAAGAAATTCAACAGAAATTCAATTCCCAAATTTCACATTTACCAGAATGTTTACAGATACAGCATGAACACAGCCAGTCATGTTTTGTCAGTGAACACATTCAATACCTCATCTATCCAAGAAGTCAATGAACACTGCACCATTTCTTAAAAGCATTTATTTTTAAAAGCATTAAAGTGTCTTAAAAGTTCAGTCGAATAGTGTTAAAGCACAAGGATAAGGCCAAATGTATAGCCAAATTTTTGGTTTTGATATTGAATTTAAGTTCATTTCCCTAACCCACCAATGCTCCCTCTCACCTGCATACATACCTATTCATACCTTTCAACTACTGCCAAGGTAGATTAAGTGCAGCAGTAATCGCAGCAGCATGCCTTACTCAGAAGTAGGAGTGAGAACATATTTTGCTGTGTGGAATAGCCAAATTCAAAGAAAACACCAGTGAAATGAAAAAAATAATAATAAAAAAAAAAAGTACCTCAGAAGTATCTCTCGCCCCATAATATCTGCGCACCAAAGAGAACCTGCTTCATAGGGTAGGGAAAGATATTCATTCTTCTTTCCCAGCCCTCATCAACATTCAGAAAGACCCCTCCACTCTAAGCAGCCAAGAGGGAGAAGTAGATTGGGCTCTGACTCTATAACCTGTGCACTGTGAGCCCTATACAGCCCTCTAATTTCACAGATGTTGCTGGGACTGCAAACTGAACACTCAAAGGTTTCTCCCATGTGCTCAAAAGCCACGATTGTGCTCAAAAGGAAAAGAGAAAATCTGTAAGAAATATTGATCTGCATCCCTCTATTTCTCCCTCGGAAAGGAACTTCTGAAAGTGTCAAAATTTTCTACTCTAATCCTCCAAAAGTTAGCTTTACATTGAACTAAGAATAGCATTCCAGGTGCCTCTGAAGTATTTCAAGCAAGACAGCTAGAGGACAAGTGAGCTACCCCTCTCCAGCAGCTGCAATATTTTTCAGACAGCTCAGTAAAATTAGGAGCTGATTTACCTTCTGAAGATATAATCTATCAGTTATCCAGATGCCTGCAACGTTTAACAACTGAACAGGAAAAGGGAGAAGGTAGAAGCAAAGGCAGAAAAACCCAAGACCTGTGTGTGTTTTATACATTAACAAAAGGAGGGAGTAGAGGAGGGAGTAGAGGAGAGATTCACTATTTCCTTTGACACCTTATTTACATAAGTCGATGTTAACCATTATAATAAGCCAGAACCCATGACAAGGTTAGTGATGTGTCATGCATTTTTTAATCAATTTAAACATGGTTAAAACATCAAGCCTCTGAAACCAGCCAATTAGAATATTTTGTTTAATGCCCAGAACCATAATGTTTAGCTGTTAGTTACTGTACCAGTAAATGCCTTTGTTTTGCTCTACTAATAAGGCAGTCGCAAAAGCAATTAAAGGAACTCATTAAGACCCCAGAATTAAGATGCTGTGATGCACTTTTTTTGCTCACATCTCCTCTGACCTGCTATCTTGTGACTTTTACACTGGAGACAGAGCTGCAACATGACAAGAACAGCAGCAAAGGTAGTCTGGGAATAAGACAACAGGCAACCTCTAACTGTCCAACAAGAGCTGTGGCCTCAGTCAGAACAGTGAACAAACATAAGAATAGCCATACTGGGTCAAACCAAAGGTCCATCCAGCCCAATATCCTGTCTCAGACAGTGGCCAATGCCAGGTGCCCCAGAGGGAGTGAACCTTACAGGTAATGATCAAGAGATCTCTCTCCTGCCATCCATCTCCACCCTCTGACAAACAGGCTAGGGACACCATTCCTTACCCATCCTGGCTAATAGCCATTAACGGGCTTAACCTCCATGAATTTATCTAGTTCTCTTTTAAACCCTGTTATAGTCCTAGGGTATGTCTACACTACCTGCCAGATCGGCAGGCAGCGATCGATCCAGCGGAGGTCGATTTATCGCGTCTAGTCCAGACACGATAAATTGACCCCAAGCGATCTCCCGTCGACTCACCAACGTGAAGACACCACGGTAAGTTGACCTAAGTATGTTGACTTCAGCTCCATTATTCACAGAGCTGAGGTTGCGTAACTTAGATTGATCCCCCCTAGTGTAGACCAGGCCCTAGCCTTCACAACCTCCTCAGGCAAGGAGTTCCACAGGTTGACTGTGCACTGCGTGAAGAACTTTCTTTTATTTGTTTTAAACCCGCTGCCCATTAATTTCATTTGGTGGCCCCTAGTTCTTATATTATGGGAACAAGTAAATAACTTTTCCTTATTCACTTTCTCCACACCACTCATGATTTTATATACCTCTATCATATCCTCCCTTAGTCTCCTCTTTTCCAAGCTGAAAAGTCCTAGCCTCTTTAATCTCTCCTCATATGGGACCCGTTCCAAACCCCTAATCATTTTAGTTGCCCTTCTCTGAACCTCTTTTAATGCCAGTATATCTTTTTGGAGATGAGGAGACCACATCTGTACGCAGTATTCAAGATGTGGGTGTACCATGGATTTATATAAGGGCAGTAAGATATTCTCAGTCTTATTCTCTATCCATTTTTTAATGATTCCTAACATCCTGTTTGCTTTTTTGACTGCCACTGCACACTGCATGGACGTCTTCAGAAAACTAGCCACGATGACTCCAAGATCTCTTTCCTGATTAGCTGTAGCTAAATTAGCCCCCATCATATTGTATGTATAATTTGGGTTATTTTTTCCAGTGTGCATTACTTTACATTTATCCACATTAAATTTAATTTGCCATTTTGTTGCCCAATCACTTAGTTTTGTGAGATCTTTTTGAAGTTCTTCACAGTCTGCTTTGGTCTTAACTATCTTGAGGAGTTTAGTATCATCTGCAAACTTTGCCACCTCACTGTTTACCCCTTTCTACAGATCATTTATGAATAAGTTGAACAGGATTGGTCGTAGGACTGACCCTTAGGGAACACTACTCGTTACCCCTCTCCATTCTGAAAATTTACCATTTACTCCTACCCTTTGTTCCCTGTCTTTTAACCAGTTCTCAATCCGTGAAAGGATCTTCCCTCTTATCCCATGACAACTGTACCCAATTCATTATTTTTTTTTGCAGGCTTATTTGCCCCCCCCCTCCACCGCAAAAGACTAACTGTAAAACAGAAAATTAGGAGTGTCCTTGGAAAATACAAAAGAAGTAGGGCTGCTGATTAATGGCAGTTAACTCACACGATTAACTCAAAAAATTAATCACGCTTAATCGCAATTTTTAATTGTACTGTTAAACAATACCAATTGAAATTTATTAAATATTTTTGGATGTTTTTCTACATTTTCAAATATTGATTTCAATTACAAGTATTCAAAGTATACAATGGTCACTTTATATGCTTATTTTTGATTACAAATATTTGCACTTGAAAAATGGCAAAAAAAAGAAATAGTATTTTTTAATTCACCTCATACAAGTTCTGTAGTGAAATCTCTATTGTTAAAGTGCAACTTACAAATGTAGATTTGTGTGTTACATAACTTCACTCAAAAACAAAATGTAAAACTTTAGCGCCTAGAAGTCCACTCAGTCCTATTTCTTGTTCAGCCAATCGCTGAAACAAACAAGTTTGTTTACATTTATGGGACATAATGCTGCCCTCTTCTTATTTACAATGTCACCTGAAAGTGAGAACAGGAGCACGCATAGCATTTTTGTAGTTGGCATTGCAAGGTCTTTACGTGCCAGCTATGCTAAACATTCATATACCCCTTCATGCTTCATTCCAGAGGACATGCTTCCATAACTGATGACATTTGTCACAAATTTAATTAACACATTGTTTTTTTAACAACTTCTTGGGGGAGAATTGTACGTCTCCTACTCTATTTTACCCACATTCTGCCATATATTTCATGTTATAGCAGTCTCAGATGATGACCCAGCACATGTTCTTAAAGCGAACAATTTCACTGCAGATTTGACAAAAAGGAAAGAAGATACCAATGTGAGATTTCTAAAGATAGCTAGATCAGTCGATCCAAGGTTTAAGAATCTGAAGGGCTTCCAAAATCTGAGCAGGATAAGGTGTAGAGCATGCTTTTAGAAGTCTTAAAAGAGTAACACTCCGATGCAGAAGCTACAGAACCCGAACCATCAAAAAAGAAAATCAACCTTCGGCTAGTGGCATCTGACTGACTCAGATGATGAAAATGAACATGCGTTGGTCAGCACTTATTTGGATGGTTATCGAACAGAACCCCTTATGAACACGGACGCATGTCCTCTCAAATGGTGATTGAAGCATGAAGGGACATCTGAATCTTTAGTGCATCTGGCACATAAATATTTTGCGATGCCAGCTACAACAGTGCCATGCGAACACATATTCTCACTTTTAGGTGATACTGTAAACAAGAAGCGAGCAGCATTATCTCCTGCAAATGTAAACAAACTTGTTTGTCTGAGTGATTGGCTGAACAAGAAATAAGACTGAGCGGACTTGTAGGCTCCAAAGTTTGACATGGTTTTGTTTTTGAATGCAGTTTTTTTTGTACATAATTCTACATCTGCAAGTTCAATTTTCATGATTGAGATTGCACTACTGTACTTGTATTAGGTGAATTGCAAAATACTCTCGTTTTTTACAGTGCAAATTTGTAATCAAAAATATAAAGTGAGCACTTTTTTGTATTCTGTGTTGTAAGTGAAATCAACACATTTGAAAATGTAGAAAACATCAAAAACTACTTAAATAAATGGTATCCTATTATTGTTTAACAGTTCTATTAATTGTAGGATTAATCATGATTAATTTTTTTTAATTGCTTGACAGCCCTAAAAAGTAGTTTATATCATCATTTGGTAGAAAATACATGGCTGTGGAACTTAGCTATAGCATTCTAAGCTTTCCAACTGATTTGGTGGAGAGAACAGTTTTGATGCAGTTTACTCAAAGCTGTTTGCCAAATTCTTTTAACCTTGTCAGAGAAAATTTGCTTCTGCACTGCTCTATCTTCTCCCAAGTATCTCTTTCCTAAAAGACTGCAATAATTCATTATGGGGCAAACACTCAGAGAAGGCTGTGTTATTCAAATAACTGAAGTGAAACCAAGCTTAGTTTCTGACCTTGAATTAATGACAAATAGCTGAGTTACTTACCTGTAACTGGAGTTTTCAAAGTGGGTAATGTCCATAATCCCCACTCTTTGCCTGTGTACACTGCCATTGGACCCAGGAGTTGCTGGGAACTAAGTTTCAGGAAAGTTTGATGCACACTGAGTGCCAGCCACCCCACACCTATATAGAAACACACGGGACATGTTCCCGCTTCAGTTTCCATTATCTGTCAGATGTAAATAATTTGAAGTGATTTGGGAATGGCAAGTAGAGAAGATAGGATGAATGTGTTAGGATTAGCTATTTGAAGAACTTCAGTTTCTAATAAGTAACCCAGATTTTTCCTCCACACATCCCACTTCTTGTGGAATAAAAAGCAGTAACCCATAAACACACTGATGAGAAGGTTACGAGGCTAAGAATTAAAGGGGTGGTGGTGGAAACTAAGCTGATCAGTGTAGCAGGTTCCATGTCACATTTTAAAATATGGTTGGTATAGACTGGAAGCTGCTTTACCACTAGATTTCCTGAGGTACCTTCAAATACACTTGGAAAACCCTGAAATACAGCTATTCATTTAAAGTGAGATTTTATGTACAGTGACCTCTTTCTAAAATGCAGAGATTTGCTCCTTCTATTCAAAATCAGACCCGCTTACTGACGTAAGCAGTTAGTTTTACTTCCATAACTGGTTAGTTCTGCAGAGCTAACAAGAATAGAGGAGAGTAAGCTGGATTCCATTCCTTCTTGTGCAGTGCCTCAGTAGAATTGTTTACTTTAGCTCCATTGACAGGCAAGTTACTCTGAAAACCCAAATACAGGGTTACACAAGATATCACAGCAGACACAATTTAGTTCACAGGGCTGAGATGATGCACAAGAGGAAAGAAGCCAGCTGACAGGTTTTTTTTCTAGTTGCTAGTGCTAACATTTGACCTGGATGGCACTGAAACAGCCCCACAAAATCTTTTAACTTCATTTTACCAGTCACTTTTCAAAGCGGAACTGCACTTTAAGGACAAACCCTATAGTTTGCCAGGCAAGCCTTCATTGAGTTTTATTACTTGAATACAGATTGGATGATCTGGCCTTGAGGAGTTTACCCAGACCTAGCTCGCCCACTTCATAGATTCCAAGGCCAGAAAGGATCATTGTGATCTAGTCCAGGGGTTTTCAAGCTGTGATCTATGCCTACAATTCCCAAATAGATCTGCACCGCCATTTGAAATATTTTAGGGTTCTGCAAATGAAAAACAGTTGAAAACCACTGATCTAGTCAGACGTCCTGTATAAAACACAGGCCACCGAAATTCATCAATATAATTCCTAGAACATATATTTTAGAAAAACATCCAGTCTAGATTTAAAATTTGTCAGTGATGGAGAATCCACAACTGTTGGTAAGTTGTTCCAATGGTTAGTTACTCTGTTAAAAATTTACACCTTATTTCCAATCTTGATTTAAACAGGAAAAAACTATGAAACCATGTAAAGAGGATTAGTTTTTAGCCAAAGTGGCAACCTGGAACTCTCATCCTCTATATTAGTGCTCTTTTCCCTCCACTTCTTTTGAATGACTTTCAGATTTGAGTTTATAAAAGCAGTATACATGTTTCAGTACCAAGTCATTCTAAATACACCACTCAGGCAGCCTTTGGATGTTTCCTATTTGCCCATAAAAGCATGACACTTTGAATTAAGACTCCGTTTAAAAATCTTAAGAGTTGCCTTGGTTTTCATCCAATTCCTTGCAATGCTCATTTGTTGCTAAATAGAAAAACAACTTGTTCGGGTTTGGATGCAAATAAAAGATTCACATTATCTAGAAATGAAGTTCTTCCTCCATTCATGACACTGGAATGATACTTGCTCTTAGGGTTCCATTAGAGAGAAGAGAATTAACTGAGGTGAAGACATGCACCGATCTTGTGCATGTACTAGTACACCCACAACAAACTTTCCTGAAATTTAAAAGTTCAATGTCTCCTGTGTCCCTACAGTAGTGGTAGCAGATGTAGCTATATCTATTCAGGGAGATTAATCAAAATCCCTCATGAACATTAAATAGATTAACTAAAAACTGGAAGTATCTTCCCTCCGCCCCCCCGTTAATGTCTGTTACTGTAAACAAGATTATGATCTTCAGAAGCCAACAAATGATTCTAAGAAGGAAGTGGAACAGGGTGTTACTCATGAACATTAAATAAATTAATGATATCACCCCCTTTAAAATACTTTTAAGACTTTTGTTACTCAGCTGTTCACATTAAATCTACCTCTTTTTTCCTTTATGCAATAATTTCTTTTGCTCTTCAACACAAGTTTAAGCAACAATAAAACTCAAACTTTTGAAAGTTATCCCTCACTCAAGTGATAAATTATCCATGTACTTCCTGTACTGTAGTAATATAGCCCCAATTAAATGCTGAAAGGCTCAGTCTCATTAAGATTTTCAAGACCAGTCATTAGTAAAAGAGGGATACAAATTAAGATTGTGTGAAAGTAATACTAAGCTTAGTCTTGCAAGTACTATCTCAAAAAAGAAAACTGTCAAAATGACCCATTTTGCTTAACAATTACAGTACATCTTTCAGTAAGCAAGAAATTCAAAGATGTGTCTACAGCTAAAATACTCATTTTATAACAATACGGTTGAAAGCAAAATTGGGCTATAGCTAACTGTTATAAGCACTCACAGAACAACAATGAAGACTGAAATTGTTAGACCAAACTCAGCAGCTTTAAAGATGGGGTCTTCTGCAGTACTTTTGTTTTAGATGTACTAGTCAAAATAAGCTATATATACACACACTTATGGAGTATTTAAAAGCAAAAAGATTAACAGACCATGCGACAGCGACACCATACAAAAGTGCATATGATTTTTTTTTCCTGACTGCTTGTTGCAGAAGACACATTTTCAGTACAATGCACATACTGGTCAATTTGCCTTTCAAATTAAAGCTTGAAATGAATTCAATGATGTATCTGATTAAAGCAAGTACAGCTTTAAAAAGCATTTATAATGAGGACTTTAAATATCAGTTTTTTCTACAACAGGGGACTGCTCACATCATCAGTGTCTTTGACCCGAAGAATCTGTTCTCTTAGGTCTTGTAAGTCGTTAAATGTGGACTGTGCTGTGATGGAATATACTAATGCAAAGCCTTGTCCATTTTTCATGTAGAGGTCTCTCATTGCTGTAAACTGTTCCTGTAATGAAAAAGGCATACAGTGGTTAATTTGAATTTCCTTACAGAAGCTGCCAGATCACCAATATCCACAAAGCCAGACAAGGATCACAAGTGGTGAAGTTTTAAGTTTTTGGAACACAAATTGCACTTTAAAAAGTTTATCCTGTGCATTGTAACCATAATATTATAGCCCTTAGATATTCTTATAGATCTGACTATTTTTTTTTATTATATATACACACACACACGGAAATAACCTGCAGATTGTAGTATTTGATAACCGTTCTAGGTCTCTATAATGCCAGGAAAGTGACAAATCAGAGCTATTGTAATTTCTCATACCAAAAAACAGAGTTAAAGAAACCCACTAAGATTTTATTAAATGAAAAAAATAAACACATACAGTAGAATCTCAGAGTTACGGAGGTTGTACGTAACTTTGAAATGTTTGTAACTCTGAACAAAACATTATGGTTGTTTAAAAAAAGTTTACAACCGAACATTGACTTAATACAGCTTTGAAACTTTACTATGCAGAAGAAAAATGCTGCTTTCCTTTTTTAAAGAAATTTACATTTAACACAGTACTATACTGTATTTACTTTTTTATTTTTTGTCTCTGCTACTGCCTGATTGCGTACTTCCAGTTTCAAATGAGGTGTGTGGTTGACTGGTCAGTTATAAAGTATCTCTGATGTTCACAACTCTGAGGTTCTACTGTACTGTGTTATTCATTTCATAATATATTAGTCCAAAAAGGGAAATTGTCCAAAAGGAAAGCCTGCAGTCCTGTGAGGAAAAACATCTCATTTACCATAACTAAATTCTTTAGAGTTTAAACATATACAATATGGAAACAAAACGATACCAACATTCTAACTGAGCAATATGCTATTATTATTATTATTATCCAATTATTTAGCTGATGCTTTTATTCAAGGCAATTAATACTCTACAGCATGTTACAACTTTACACAAAGTGTAAGTTAGCAGAGCTATATACACCTCTTAAAGATCCAAAGATAGAATTTAAACATTTTGTATGTTATGTTTTTTGCAGTTTGAAATTACATTACACTGACTTTCATAGCATAAATATAAAATGTAAAAACAAAATGGACTGTAATAGTATTCACTCACAAATATTTATTTTGGAGTGTCACCATCTGTCACCAGAGTGGCATGTCTGGCACTGTGAATGCACAATGCAGAGACAGTCACTGTGATTACAAACTGGTCCAGTGTTCTCTGGATCAATGCACGACCCACAACATTAACCTCCTTTTCAAGGTGATGTAGGAGGTTAAAAATCTTTGAAGCTCCTGTACAATAGGCCATTTGTCAAAGTTTTCAACACATTCTTCATTTGTGTCAAGGATGGGACGATTACCTCATCGTCTGCCTCTGCATTGTTTTCAGGTTTCACTTCAAATTGGTCTTTGATCTCAGTTGCAATGTCCTCATCAGACAGGTTGTGTAACAAAAGCATTGTCATCTATGTCTATCCATTCTTCCAAATGTGTGTGCACTGAGTTCTCTTGGTGGCTCAACAATTGCTTTCTCCATGGGTGCTATGGCCAGACCTCCAATTCCAGACTGTTGAAGGATCGACGTCAGACCAGGCGTTTGCAAGCATTAGAATGGCATCTAAAAGACATCTTCCTGGCAATTTCCACAGCAGTAGCTTTCTCGTCATCATCAATGTGGTGCAATACTATGCAAACCATTTGCTTGAGAAAGTATGCCTTGGCAGTTCTGATAATACCCTGATCACATGGTTGAAGGGTGAAATTCTGTTCTTTGGGAAGAATTCAAGTCGGATATTCCTCAGGGCTACATTTGTTGTCACATGGGCTGTGCAGTTGTCCACTAGTGGCAAAAATCTTTTTCCTTTCCTGGCCCAACTTTCAATCCCAGTTCCTTCAGCCACTCACCAAATAGATACCTCATCATCCAGGCAGCTACACTGGCAACAGAAAAGACTGGAGGATGTCTCACATTTTTAAAACATTGAGTTTTGACTTTTCCAGATGATGAAAAGGTCCATTTTCTTACCAGTCAAGGAACAGATGAACAGAACAGTAATTCTCTCTAAACTTCTTTCCTCTTTTTATTGATTTAAAGGTGAGTGTGCCATCAGGCAGGGCTTGAAAATGAATTCAACTTTCATCTGCATTCCAAATGTCTTCAGCAAAGCCATGTCTCATTTCAATCCATTTGTTTTCTAACCATTCTTCATGTGACCCAATGTCTGCGTCTTTGAATTCTCCTTGCATTTTCTTTAAAAAATGAGAGGAGATTGTTTTTAAGTGCTCAAACCAGCCAGAGCTGGTCTTGAAGATGGTACCGCCCAGTGCCACTGCCAGTTCTTCTGCATCCCCAACAGTCCACTTAGGGGGGCATTTCTCTCTCTGGCATTTTTGATCCACTTTATAAGTGCCGCCTCAACCCTACATGCTTTGCCTGATGGTATTTTTTCCCTCTCTCCCGATCTTTGAAAATCTTAGACAATATAGGCCACGGAATGCCCAATTTCTGAGATGCATCTCTGGCTGGTCTTGGGAAAACTATCATAGGACTCCAGAAAGTGGTGTTTTTCCATCTATAGAAAGTGCCTTTTCCTGCTATGTCAACTCACACAAACTTGACTCCCCCCCCCCCCCGCCACTGGGATTAAACTTTATACACACTAAATGCCTAATAATGCGAGATGTGATCAGATTCAAGACAGCTTTATTGGCTTATTACAAGTCATTGCACTTGATTATCATATTGCATGTAGTCCGCTTGTCCCAAAATGATTCTTATAAGCAGAGTATTTAGCATGGGAATGATTTTGTCCCAGTAGTTTTGATTACTCTGTGCAGTTGATTCTTGTATCAGTAATTTTTATAAACTGAGTACATTGGTATTTATCATTCATGTTGGCTAAATAACGGAGAGGTTCCATAGTTTCTACGATTTTTTTCTTGCTTGCATTGTTCCAATTTTGTTAATTAGATCCAGAGATTTCTTTTGAGATTCACTCACCCCTTCCTCCCCCCCCCAAAAAAAACCCCACACCCAACAACACGCATCTGGCACCTGCAGAACTTTGTTCTTTTTGCAACTTTGCTCTCTGTAGTCTCATGTAAAACATGTGTGCATTTTTTATCAGAGTCCTCATACTCCATGTAAACTGACACCACTTGGTAGTTGACTGGAAATATAGCCTTCCAGAGAGTCCCAAATACCAACAGGAAATAGGGGCCATCATGTATGAGGCACACGGTGGAAGTTTAAGTCAGTCTACAACTGCTGCATACTTTAGGACTACATTAAATGTTTCTTTCTCCATGGTGGTTTGGATAGTGTGCTAAACGTCCATATACCAGAAGTTCAGAATGACTGTACCTGAGAAGTCTCTCGTTTTATTTTCATTGTCTGAGCAAGTGGCAAAAGATCTGTCACACTTATCTGCATTACTGGATGTCATCATCAGCTACTTGAACAACGTTCTGTCCTTTTTTCAGGTTAGTATCAATAGCAGTAACAAGGAGTGCATTTTTCCCTGTGTGGATGCTTGTAGACATTATTGGGTCATTTCATACACTAAACCAACCATCTTACACAATGTTACAATTGAGGTCTTCCTCTAATTTTAGCTTTCTTCCCTTGCAGCATCCAGCGTGGGACCTGCAAGCCGAAACGTGTGGAGACGTATACCCAAGGTGAAATGCTTCAGTCATTTCTTTAAACTGCTAATTTTGTACCACTTTGAAGTCAAATGTTTACCTAATAGGTTGGAACTTTTCTTATAAAGTTCAAGTTTTCACTTTTATGGAATTAACACCAATGATCTTTACAATTTTGGGGGTGCTGAAAATGAATAGCGTGTGTTTCTGAATTAAGCGGATACTGAAGATAAGTTCCTGTTTGAGGCCTTCCAGTAGATCATGGCTCATTTCAACAAGATTGGCATCAGAAGTATCTCACTTGGAGGATTCAACTCAATCTTTTGTTCTTCCACTTCAACAGTGGAAGCTACATTCAACTATACATTTGATCTTGAAAAACCTTGGTGCTATTCCACACCTTTTGAGAGGACTGTGAATCCTTTCCATGTGGATACTTCACTTATACATTTTACTTTTAAATGTCTTTCATTACTTTGGTCCATTCAAATCACCTGTTTCCTTCCACTTCCTTCAACTTTAGTTAAATTCATACTGATTGACAATTCCTATACCCGCAATTACAGCTTTTCACATTTAGTTCTGTTAGAATGAGACTTGGTACTTACTTCTGTATAATTATGTTGCTCAGGGGTGTGGAAAACTCCTGGTGTAGACTGCTGCCTCTTAGGGAGGTGGATTAACTATACTGATGGAAGAAGCTCTCCCGTCGGCATAGTAGCTGGTTCACTAAAGCGGTGCAGCTACACCACTGTCCGTGAGGACAAGCCCTGAGAATCAGCCACCTTCATGAACTCAACACTGAACAAGTTGTCTCAGACAGCTTCAAATAGGCCCAATATAGACAGATAATCGAAATATTTCAGATACCTACAACCCAATCTACCCAGGATAGTTCACAACTCCATCCACACCCCTCTATTCAATATCTAAAAGACAGCATATTTCACTCACTAGCTTCTCCACTCACCATCCATTCTATGCTTGTTAACAGTTCTTTAATTTATTGATTAACAGCCATAACAAGCTTTTTGATGGTCTCATTCCTCCCTTTATTCTAAAAGGTTAAGAGTTTTTATTCGCAGATTCAGGTAAAAACCCTGTTTCTGGTACCATAATATTAACCACCCAACACAAGTGTTGAGTTAGCAGAGTTCCATATTTAAGCCATGGTTTAGGTAGATAAAGTAGAAAAGACGGTCAAATGTATTCAACTCAATTTTAGCAATGAAATCAAGTTAGTTATGCTAAAGGATGTGTTTTAAAAAAGTGCCTAAACCTAAAGTTTTGGTTCATAAATGAATGTATTATACTCCATTTACATTATAATTGACAACTGAGTATTTAAGAGGTAACCATTTAACTAAAGTAGAAGCCAAAACCCCATAGTAGAGAAAAACTTGTATAACGGTAAGGCTTTACCGCACAATACACAGATTGTAGTGCTAAGACTGCAGCATGTGCCAAAACCTTGTGATTGACATAACCATAAGTTGAGACCTAATAGGAGCTAGGTGACCTGAATAGGACGTTAAGTTCCCTGTTGAAGTGAATAGAGATGATGCAATGAGGGAAGCAGTAGGGCATAAATTTTGGACAATTTGTATATTAGACAACATTCAAAGCTTTCATAATTACAGGGAAAACACACCAGTGGACAGAAATAGTAAAGAATCAGAATGAAAAACCTGGGGAAAATGTTAAACTTGATTCAACATTGGAAAAATGAAACAATATAGCTAAAGAGAAATAATTTAAGGGGAATAAAACTCTGAGTAATGTTGAAAAATGAAAGCAAAAGAAGGCCAATGCAACTGTGTGATGCCTCTGCCTTTTCATATCATCCTGCTACAACCACATTTGATCACAGCACTTGATAAAAGCGTTACCTGTTTTGGAAAAAAAAAAAGCCACTCAATCCGTCTATCATTTTACACATTTAAGGAGAACTTTGCTGCTAAATTCCCATTGAAGCCATTGGACCAGTCTGCTGTTACGGTTGTTGGGAGGGGGAAGGTCTGCTCTAAGGGTCTTGATCCAAAACCCATTGAAGTCAATGGGAGTCCACTAAAACGGTTTTTGGATCAGGCCATAAAGGGGAAATTCACTCCTGTGTAGAGGGTCAGCACAAAGCCTATACATCTCACAAGTCCCCACTTAAGCCCAACTTTGGCTGTCAAGAAGAGACTAGAATAAAACAAGAATACCATACCTCAGGGGAGGGCAAGGTATAGGGAATTCCCCAACAGAAATCAGGATTACCACCTTCTGGGCTAAATTTAAGACGCCTAGAGGTGAATTATCCCTCAGAATACTACTACTACTACTACTACTAAATTTTAGGTTTTCCTATTACGAGGTAAAGCAAGAATCATAGGCAGCATACAATTTGCTTTCTGCCGTGTTATTTCCAATTCTGCTTAAATACTGGTCAGTGAAGAGCTAGGTGAAGGGGAGGGTAAATGTGTTCGGTGTTGTACAGTGGATGATTAAAAACTAGTGTACCACCACTGATTGGAAGTATTTTTTAAAAGTGCCCGAGTGTGATCCATATATACAGAGGATAATTAGTTGTACATACCGTTCCTGCAGTATCTAAGATTTCAAGCATACACTGTTGTGCATCTACTTCAACTTGCTGCCAAGAAAACAAAGATGAGGTTAAAATTTTTCTCAAAACAAGAAAGACTGTCAAATAGGCAACTAGTTTCCCTTTACAATTAATCTTATAATACACAAGACAAAGTAAGGGAAAATAAGATCCTGGCTTTTAATAAGTTTGTGCATGTACTCTGAAAGCAGGGAATAAAGGTAAAAGTTTTCAGAAGCCCCTAAGTGATTTAGGAGCCTAAATATCTTGAAAGCAGTACTTGGGGACTTTTGAAAATGTTACCCATATACTAAAGAGTATAATAAATCTTTACAGTCTACCATAAGCAGAGAACACAGCTGTACTTGCTTCAATGGGCACTCTCAGCAAGCACATACACTTGATATTTGCGAGGAAAAGCACAGATCAAAAGCTAGAAAGTTAAAGTGGCATGTTGATGATCGTTAAAAGGGCAAATTGGATCAATGGAGAGGTGGCAGAAAGTCCCTGATGTAATCGCTCATCAGTTTGCTTTAAGTGTGCAATAATATGACAGCATCTCTCTCTTTCAAGGTATATGGGTCTATCTCATGTCACTCCACCCATGAAGGAGGATTGGCAGAGTTGTTTTGCAAATTGATACCTTTAAGGGAGCTTGCTACTTAGTTTTTTAAATGTATGATTGACAGTTTAAGTTTAGGCTTGCTTTCTGAACCAATTTAAAACTCTAAGAAGGAAAGACTGTTTTTTCACATTTCCTCCATTTTCTTCTCCCTCTGAAGAGTATAAGGCCTCTTCAGTAGCCACTATTGTACTACGAAGGATGCTGTTAAGTGGTGTATTCAACACTATTTCCTTTATAAGACACCTTGGCTTGAAATCTCAAGTCAACAGTATGTTGAAATAATTTAGATATTGTAGTAATTGAATTCTGAAGTTTTAAAAAGCAGTTTAATACTTAAAGCCGATTACAATCTGAACTTCTTGTACAGCAGTTGCCAAAAGAATGCTTTCAGAAGCACAGAAACCACAAAACAAGTTAGAATGTCATTGCTATTGCCCTTGCTTGAGGGAAGTGTATTGATATTGTTCACACTAAGTATGACTTCCAGAATCAGATCAATTTAGAGAACAAGAAATCCATGGGATTCGGAGTCATTCCAGGACCACATGTAGTCAGACACATGTTAATTTTTGTTATGAATCCTAGTTGAAAGCCCTCATTAACAGAAGCAGAGATTAATTTGTTTCTTGAGACCATTTAACCTTTTCATACTTCATAAGAATAACTAGCGGCTTTAGTTTCTTTTGAAAGCGGATCTTTCAAATATTTGCAAAATGTCAGGTCTAAGGTGAGATCTACTGAATAATCTAAATACATGCAGTAAGGAACATTTCACCACTTTCATAATGCTTGCTAGTATTTTTGGTGTAATTTACTGCAGGCACTTTGAAGTGGTGAGGATCCAACAATTACTGGACAGGACTTGAAATTCTTGCCCCTTACTTTCAAGGCTAAGATTAAAAAGAGTACAATCAATTTTTTTTTAAAATACAGATTCTTTTAGATTTCCTGTATAGTTAGAGCTAGAACAAATCTCACATGAGTAAAATTTTCCACTACAGTGACTCTACCTGGTCATCAGGAAAGTAGTAAGTCTGGGATATTCTTCGCTCTCAGTGATTCCCCTTCTATCACCGAGCCAGCACAAAGCCGCCAGCTAGCTGCTTCAGTGCCTTGACAATAGGGAGTTGAGGTAGACAACAATGGGGAACAGGTCAGAGGTGGGCCTACCCCCCCTCTCCAGCTGAAGACAGGACAAGCGATACTTGTGTCACTGCAGTTTGTCTGGGTCAGTCTTACCACAACTGGATAAGCTATACACACAAGTTCATCCATCCTATTAAAAGCATATCAAGGTAAGGCTATTTTAATATTTCATTCGAAGTATATATAAATGAATTGTCTCAAGTGGTTCATTATGGTATAGAGAGTTTGAGAACCACTGTTTTCTGAGTTCACTAATGCACCCTGCACTAACTACTGACTCAAGCCGGACTTACCCCAACTTCAACACTAGGCACCAACCCACCTTTGTAGACAGCTTTCAGTAGGAATCAAATCCTACTCTATTCAATGCCTCCCATGTAGAAATTAAGGAAAATGTATGCTTTGTAGTTAAGTAAAATAAAGGGGTTTTAGCAGTCATAGAAGGGCTTTCAAAGTATGGGGGGGAGGGGGAAATTTAACAAGGCCTTGAAAATATTAGGTTCAAAAGTTAGAACAAATGTGGCATCTAGAACAAGACAAGTTTTGGGGAGAAGGCTAAGCTTAGAATGTGGTTAATGAGAAAAGATTTCTGTGAAAAGGGGTCTCTAAATTATAGAACCAGTTTATAACTTCATCTAACAGACAAATAGATGATGTTTTGTGATATATGATAAAAACTGAAAGTAATCTTTAATATACCAATATTATCTTGAAGGGCGCCCAGTCCTAAAATTGTATCTACTCAAGGACAGGAAAGGGGTCAACCCCAAACTGGCTCTTAGCTAAAGTTAGCAACTGGCAATGACATTACTTGTTTATTAGGAGACTATTTAAAAAAAAAAAGTGAGCTCTTAGAGGGTTCATTGTTAGTACCCGCCTTACCAAGTTGGAGCCAGCCAACATGGGTTTGAACATCTCAGGTCTAGTCCACTGTAAGTATCTTGATCAAGTACTTCTAAATGTGTTACTGTAGGGTGTAATAATTGCCTAAACTTTTAGACATGTTTAGAGCATTCGGATTTTATGAAGGAATTTATGACTGAATTGGTGTTATCGTTGATGCACAGTATCATAACATCAACCTTAACACCCCAATATTGCACATTAACTTATTTATAGACAGTAAAACATTTAAGCTTAAATTGCAATTATCTTTTTAGGTAGGCTCTTCAAAAGGTGGCTATGTCATCAACAGAAGCCATATTGATAATCACTTACTCTTGTTCATTGTCTCATGAATATTCACGCTTCATAGATGCTAAATGAGTTAGTGATGTTAGATGTGTTTAATGCTCTTGCCATTCAGATTTTACGGTCAAGTACTTGCTAATTTTTTAAAAAATAGTGTTCATTTTAGAGTTTCAAAAATGATCAGTGTCTTGTACTATTAGTGTAGTATCACTTAATTTATTGCATTACCTTTCTGTAGGAGTCTTCTATCGTAGGATCATATTTTTCAACAAATATTCCTTGAACAAACTGTACAGTCTGCAACACAAAAAAGTTCCCTTATACAACTTTATATATTTTGACATTATATAAACATATTAAACACATAATATTGTTCTAAGTGTACATATAATTGCCAAGAGCACATTCCTATATTTACTGAAGGCAGACATATGTCTAGGTGTAAAATATCTGAATATGTATAAGACAACAGGTAGACATTTCCTCCAGACTGTAAACAAATGCATTAGAGGTATATCCGTGTTCTAATACTTAGATGTATTTATCACCAAAGTTAGCGTGGATAAGTCATTTTAATGACTGTTTAAAGCAAATGAGTTCACACTACGTCTGAAAGACTAACATTACTATGAAATAGTTATTTACATATCCCAGGGAAAAATCAGCTAGATACATACACATGTTGTATAGTTACACAGTAACTCCTCACTTAAAAGGTTAAAGTTGTTTCGTTGTTAGGTTGCTGATCAATTAGGGAACATGCTCCTTTAAAGTTGTGCAAATTGGCAGCCGCCTGCTTTGTCCACTGCTTGCAGGAAGAGCAGCCTGTTGCAGCTAGCTGGTGGGGGCTTGGAACCAGGGTGGACCGGCAGCCCCCCTATCAACTCCGCCTATCAACTCCCTGCTCCCCTAAGTTTCCTGTGCAGCAGCAGCTGCTAGCAAATGCAGCTATCCCTCCCCACACTGCCATGTTCTGCTCCTACCCTCTGCCTTGGAGCTGCTCCTCGAGCTGCTCCTCGAGCCTCCTGCGAGCTGTGTGTGTGTGGGGGAGTTAATGTCAGGGTATCCCCCTCCCCTCTGCTTACACCTTCTCCATATAGAGCAGGGTGGGGACACTGAGGGAGAGAGACAGAGAGAGCCTGGTGCAGCAGCTGCTCTCTCAACTTCCTGATCCACTTAAAAAGACAATGCACTTAAGAGTGGGCCAGCTTACTTAAAGGGGCAGTGTGCATTTCTCTCCTCCTCCCCCCCCCACACAAGGTGTATGTTTGTCTCTGTCTGCTATGCTATCTCCCCTCCCCTCCATTCCTGCTGACTTGTAGAATGTGAGGCTACATTAACAACAATGTATTAACCCTTGAGGGCTCAGCCCAGTGCTAGTTCATCATTTAGCACAGGGGTTCTCAAACTGGGGGTCATGAGGTTATTACATGGGGTGTCACGAGCTGTCAGCCTCCACCCCAAACCCTGCTTTGCCTCCAGCATTTATAATGGTGTTAAATATATATATAAAAAAGTATTTTTAATTTATGGGGGGGGGGGCACACTCAGAGGCTTTCTATGTGAAAGGGATCACCAGTACAAAAGTTTGAGAACCACTGATTTAGCAGCAAGGCATTCCCTGGGAAATATCCCACCTTCTTACTTCACCACCTCAACCAAGCTTCACAATCATCATAACTGAACAGTATTAAACTTATAGTGTGTGTTTGTCTGGTGAAGAACATTCCCACCCCACCCCCCCTTTACATTAATTCTTATGGGGAAATTGGATTCGCTTAACATCGTTTCGCTTAAAGTTACATTTTTCAGGAACGTAACTACAATGTTAAGTGAGGAGTTACTGTACAGCTTTCAACACAAAATTTAAGAGCCGTTTTGTATTGTCTATAACTTATTTTATTAGTACTATAAATTCAAAATGTGTATCCTGGACTACTAAATGGCTATCAATATTTTCTAGAACACTGAACTTCAGGCCAAGTCTTGCTCCCCGCATCTGCCTTTGGGGGGGTAGAGGGGAGAGAGAAAAAGGAGTGTTCTGTAAACTGGCTAGGGAGAATTACAGAAGCTGGCATACTTCGGTGTGAGATTTGTGGATCTTTGACTAAAGTCCAGTGGCTAAGAGCATAGGGACTACCACTCAACATCAAAACTGCAATACACCTCTACCCCGATATAACGTGAATTCGGATATAATGCGGTAAAGCAGTGCTCCGGGGGAGGGGAGGGGGG